CACCATGTATGATGGATGGTAAATGTTCAAAACGATATCCACGGACATTAATATCGGAAACAATTACTTGTAATGACGGTTATCCACTGTATCGACGACGATCGACAGCAGACAATGAAAAATTTAACAATTGCTAAATTAAATCAACAAGATATTGAAAGAGATAATCGTTGGATTGTTCCACATTCACCCATTTTATCAAAGAACTTCAAAGCACACATCAACGTTGAATCTTGCCATTCAGTGAAATCTATTAAATACACTTGCAAATATGTAACCAAAGGGAGTGATATGGCTGTGATTGGAATTGGTGCAGAGAATTTCAATGATGAAGTTACCCAATACCAAATGGGCCGCTATGTTAGTAGTAATGAAGCAGAATGGCGAATATTTTCTTTTCCTATTCATGAGAGACACCCTTCTGTTGTTCACTTAGCTGTGCATTTTGAAAATGGGCAAAGAGTGTATTTTAGAGCACAGAACGCAGTACAAAGAGTTGCTCAGCCACCATCTACTACATTAACCAGTTTTTTTAGACATGCCAAAACGATTTTGCACAAACAAATTCTGCTATATTCTGGTATGCCAAAATATTATACTTGGAATCAATCCTCAAGGAGATTTATACGACGGAAACAAGTTCCAGGATACCCAAATGTGTATTCCACCGACGCCAATGATCGAATTTATTAAGTACATCCATCAATGATGAATGTTTTTATTTACTACTGCTATTAGTCAATGTACGTGGCCCAACATCATTCCAACATTTACGAACTGTTGATGGTGAATTGTGTGGATCTTACAGAGAAGCCTGTCAACGTTTGCAATTGCTAGAAAATGACGCTCATTGGGATCAAACTCTCAAAGATGCTGTAATATCATCAAACGCTCATCAAATACGAACATTATTTTCATCAAATCCAATTGATTTGTGGATCAAGTACAAAGAATATATGTGTGATTATATTTTGTATCAAATGAGAAATAGAATGGGAAATCCAAATATACAAATCAGTGAAGAAGTTTACAACGAAACATTGATTTCAATTGAAGACATGTGCTTGATGATGTCAAACAAACTATTAATCTAATTAGGCATGGCTGCGCCCAATCGTCCAATGCATGATGCTTTTAACTAAGAGTTGAAGCGAGAAAACTGTATGATCTCAACACTTTGAAAGAATTAATTCAAACAAATCTTACACTGTTGAATGAACAACAGAAGTATGTATTTGATACTCTTATGAAAGTAAGAAATGATGAAACTGGAGGAATTTACTACTTAGATGCACCTGGTGGTACAGGAAAACCTTTTTTGATTTCATTAACATTAGCAACGATTCGCTCACAAAATAAAATTGCACTTGCACCAGCTTCGTCGGAAATCGCAGCAACTTCGCTTGAAGGTGGTCGAATTAATTGGTGGTGGTCGAATTAATGGTAATTTCAGCATTAAAATAGCCATTAAATATGCAAAGCAATGAAACTCCGACCTGCAACATTTCGAAGAACTCTGCAAAGGGAAAGGTCTTGCAGCAATGTAAATTAATTGTTTGGGATGAATACACGATGGCACATAAAAAAATCTTTGGAGACTTTAGACAGAACCTTAAAATATCTACGGAGCAATCATAACCAATTTGGTGGTGCAATGATTTTATTAGCAGGAGATTTTCGTCAAACATTGCCAGTGATTCCATGATCAACACCAGCTGATGAACTCAATGCGTGTCCTCTAATTTGTGGAAACATGTCAAAGTACTTCATTTAAGTAAGAATATGCTTGTGGAGTTGCAAAATTACCAATCTGGAAACATATTCTCTGAACAACTCATTGACATTGGTAATGGCAAATTTCCTATAGAATGTTGACTGGCTGCATTAACTTTCCTCAAAGTTATTGTCAGTTAACTCGATCAAAAAATGAACTTATTTAGGTGTTTCCATATGTTTCTCAAAAATTACAGAAATCATGATTGGTTGAGCAAACGAGCTATATTTGCTTCAAAAAACATAGATGTAAATGAATTAAATTTAAAAAATCAAGAATAAATTACAGGCGAATCGAGGATATATAAATCAGTTGATTTGGCTACTAACCAAGATGATGTAGTGAACTATCCACCTGAATTTTTAAACTCTCTGAATTTGCCACCTCACAATCTTCAATTAAAGGTTGGATCGGTAGTTATAATATTGCGAAATATCAACCAACCACATCATTGCAACGGCACATTTAGCAATAAAAAATTAATAAACAACGTGATAGAAGCAACTATACTGAAAGGAAAGTATAAAGGATAAGGTTCTCATACCGCGCATCCCAATGACTCCGACTGATGTGCCGTTTGACTTTAAATGACTACCGTTTCCAGTTCGGCTTGCTTTTGCTATGACCATAAACAAGTCCCAGGGGCAATCATTAAGTGTTGGTGGTATTAATCTGGAAAACCCATGTTTCTCACATGTTCAATTGTTTGTTGCCTGTTCCCGTGATGGAAAACCATTAGATTTGTTTGTCTATGCGCCAGGTAATCAAACAAAAAACATTGTATATCACAAAGCACTACAATGAAAATAAAACTGATTTTTGTTAATAATTACGATTCACATGGTTAACAAAAAAGCGATTATTTACTTTTAAATGCTTATATATGTTTTATTTAATTATATTTCTTATTCACAACGCCCTATCACCAGGGTGACGGTTCTGTATATTTTGCTCAGACTATAAAATATGTAGGAACAAAAAACTGCCACATTTCAAATCTTTTCGACAGGACGAAGTCTGTCGGGTCCGCTAGTTCTAAATAAAATGTATTTTGAACGTAACCGAATCACCAAAAAACAGAACATTTCATATTTGAGCCACTAAGTTATGTGCTCAAGAATAAACGTATTATTGCGCAAATTCGTGTCTGCATCTGATTGCAACTGGAAGCAGCTTAGAATCCGCACTCCGTGAACACGAATACTGCCCATATGAGCGATCTTAGGGCTTGAACCACAACTATACAGCCCACTCAATATCTTTGAAATACACAGCGGTTTGAACAGAGGTATAGCTGTTTATTCGCAAACGTCTGTAGGCCTCTCAAAATATTGTATTGACATTGAACTTCACAGAAAGAAACAGGTTTCGTCGTCACCGGTTAGGACGTCGCCATAAAATGCATTAGCGGTTATTTTCCTAACTACTTCATTTCTTCCTTCCTTTACGAATAAAAATATTCATAAGTTTAACATTCATCATATTTTTTTTGTTTTCATAACTCGTTAATTCGAATTTAAATACGATGACAATTATTCTAATTCATGCCACTGTAACTCATATACTCATGTACATTCATGTAACTCATATACTGGCTTATTGCAACTTGAACAGTATTAAGAACATAAAAAAAACTAAATGATGACACTTTTGAGTTCGTTGTGGTCTTTCTTAGCGTACGGACAAAAACATTGGAACACCTGCCACAAAGGAAATAAAGAAGCGAAGTAAACAGATGCAGTAAAGTAAATAAAACACATTAACGATATTAATCAACATGGATGCAGTTTCGCATATTGTGAGGCATATTCGAAGACCATATACTTTTAAATTTACATTAATTAGAACCAAAACAAAAGTAAATTCTACAAGAGAGTCTTCCGTTTTCTGATTTCATAATCTCAAACTCCACTCCTACCATCGATTTGCCCGGAAGCATTTCATTCCCAAGCTAAAAGTCTTTAAATGTGCCAATGAACAAAATGCTTGTTAGTTTTCCTTTGTTATCCAGACCTGTCATCTGCTTCTTCGATAGTGTGACGAAATCCATTATTATTTGAATGTTAAAACATTATTGTAAGATTAGAAATGTTTGAAATATTTGCATTAAATTCTACGTTATTCTGGTTTCGAAAGTTTCAAATGTAACTTTCAGATTTTCAAGTAAAGGCCGTTTTTTAACATTGCTTCTTCAAAGCGAATTTAAAGCAGAGTTTTCTTTCCGTTGATCAATAATTATTTAACGTGTACAATGTCTAATTTATCTAATTCACTAGCTCCTCCTGCACCAAACGACATTCTTCCTGGTTTGGACGAATTGAGAAATGCATGTGTCTAACCCTTACGAGCTCTCTTCATTGCAATCCTTTACTGTGAGAATTGAAGAGTTTATTTTGAAACTGACGTACTTCCATGAAACTTTTTCAATCAGGGCAAGTATTTACATTTACTCTTCTACTTGAAGAGAGGATTCAACTGTTTTAGGAAACAGTTTAACATAGGAGAAACGCATATTTTGAACACAATATTTAGATTTATAATGGATGAACGCTTTATGGCAATATTGATACGATGATATTGTAAAAACTTAAAATTGAGAAACTCACTTTAGAAATAAGATATTCAATAATAAAAAATGCTCAAATAATGTTTTAATGCAAAGATTTAACTTTAACAGTGCTTACCTTAACACTCATTCCCACCGGGAAACCCGTATAGGATGTGCAAGAAAAACCAATTACTTGGCAATTCACAATATCTGCTTTATATTTATCTCTCAACTTAGGATTATCTCTTATCGGTCTGGAACAAAAATTAGTTTCAATATACAATCTTAATGTAGTAAAAGATAAAGTCATGAAAACGCCAAATTATATTATGAATAGTTTAAGACGTACTGGGATAATTCAATTATTGTGTGACGAGATGATATTCAGATTTCACATTTGTTGTATAACGTTTGGCAAAAAATGTTTTACTTGTAGAGCTTCACTACCTCTTGAGGTAATGGCTATAAGAACATATTTTAAGATCCAGAAAAAGCACAAAATATTTGAAAATGTATCCAAAATTTTTTCGTCTGATTGGTCTGGTTTTCGCAACTATAACTTTTAGATTAACATTTTGATATTTGATTTATTTTCAAATATTTTATGCTTCTTATGGGTTTCTAATGTCTTTTGTAACCACTAATAGGACCTGTTTAGGAGAACCACTCATTTTTACGAAACGCAAACGTCAAATCAAAAACTTATCTAGCCAGGTTTCTCTGAAGTGAAATAGGTCTTCGAAATATTTATAACAAAAATGTGTGCTAAACAGCATTCTTCAGGAAATGTTGCTACTATTTCTTGGCGTGAAGGCAATATATTTTATGTTTATTGATTATATTGAAACATTTTTATAATTACTGCCAACTGTCACCTAAAATGTTTGGTAATTTTAACTAAAAAGTTCAGTAACTTTGGTCTTAATAAATCTCTTTATTTTGCTTACTTTCGAAGCTTTAAAATGTCAAGACTCGTTGCAAGGGTAACTAATACTGTCTGTGTTACAATATAGCACAGACTTTCTCGTTCTATTGAGTATCAATTCTTTGGAGCTGAGGCTACCGTTGTCCCTGTCCAGCTAACATTACGTAGGTCGAAAACTAGTAGTTTTCGCGCAATTTTTGTTTTTGCATTTCGTTAATGCAAATTATAAAAAAACATTTTAAGTAAGCTGCTCGATTTTTTTTCTGTAAACGTTTTTCGCGAATAGAACAATGAACGCTTAAAAGAATGACGGTCTCATTTTCGTTGATCTCTCTAAATTTTAGAAAACCGAAAATTTAAAAATAATGCGAGAAAGCTTGTGATATTCTAGCAGCACTAGGTTTGAATACATCTTTAATTACTAATTATCGTACAATACACGGCAGGATTAATTTTTCTAGTCAACAAGAACATTTTTTATGCCGTTAGGATTTTCAAAAAATATAGGTGTTGTGGTGTGATATCTTTGGCATTTTTCATAAAATAATTAAAGACGTTGTCATTGCCAAATATATTATTTAATGCAATAGCAGCTTTCGATGGCTTAGCCATCATCATTAGTTGTCTGCTGCTACCGTTGTCGTGTAGTCGTTTTTGTGGCTTCCATCCAGCAGACATCTGATGATGATGGCTAAGCCTTTGAAAGCTGCTATTGCATTAAATAATATATTTGGCAATGACAACGCCTTTAATTATTTTTCAAAAAATGTCCTTCAGCTTTTGTCTAGAACTCTATGGAACAAAGGAGAAGGGAGAAAGGAATGTAGAGATGAGGGAAGGAAGTTATCTCGCAATCCCCTATTTATTTTTCAGGACACGATGCCCTGACTCCAGCGCGCTTGGCTTAGGTCTGCTCTATGCTCTAAACATACCTGGGTGATATGTAACGCGCTATAGGAGACGCGAAAGTGTAGGCTATCCCAAATTCTCCTAAAATTGGTGTGGTGGTTATTACTTGTTTTCCAACTTTTTCAGGTGTTGGAAGTTCGCGGCGGTCCTGAACCTGAAATCATTAAAATCAATATTACCGAATGGGCGTATTTCTATTCTTCGAAAACGAAGTTTGGAAAGAAAGTACAATTTACTACCCAATAATGGAGTAAAGTGTTAAGGGGAAGCATAGCTAATTTTTTCAACTTCTATATTTTTATACACTATAAACCAAATTTTGACTATGTATTCATTAATGAACTAAACTCTGCTTTTTCCCCGTTAGGGGCCAGTTTTCAAGCAGCACCTCTTGCCCCACCTGGCATTACATCCACTCTGCTATTCGTATCTAGGGCGTCCCCATTCTGTCACCATTTCCCCTCTCTCTTGTCCCCCAAGGCTGGGACCCTACCTGTCGATAACCCGAAGAGGTAGCTTCCCAGCTAGTTGTTGGTTATCGCCTAGGCGCCATTCTAAATCCTTAGCGGAATGGTTGTTAATGTCAGGATAGGGTAGGGAATGACTGATGGAACGAACCGATGGAATGCATATTGGCAGGGGAAACTGGAGTATCCAGAGAAAACCTGCCTCGAACTCGCTTTGTCCATCAGAAACTCCACTTGTAACCGCCTGGGTCAAACCCGGATACCAACGGTGGAAGACAAGCAGACTGACCACTACGCCATGGGCCGCCAGTGTTTTCATCAATGTAATGCATTAATGTTTATTGTGCAAAATTTCAACAATGTAGCTCAATTTTTTGTTATTAATATTGTTAAATTTTGTTTGGTTCAACATAAAATGCTCACTAATATGATTTTCATCAGTTTAACCTACAATAAGATTTGTGTGAAAATAATGGCAAAATCATTTTGCAGTAGTTTATTTTTAATTCATCTTTATTTTACCGCAATTCCTAAACATTTTATTGAAATCTAGTAAAAATTGTTCTGAGTTTTCTCGAAATACAAGAAAAATCTTTCAAATACAGTAAATGGCTCTGCTGAAAGGGGCTTCAAAATAATGTAGGATTTTCTTGTACTTTTGACAATACATTAAAAAAAAGCAAACGTGTTCTGCTGTGCAAAGGATCGTTGAAGGCTTTATTTAAAGGTCGAAAAGAAACATTGAAGATAAAATTTCCTTTCTTTAAGTGAAAACTGAAATAAAGTTAATAAATTAAGTAAATCAAGGAATTAAGAATTTATAGATATAAGGGATGCCAAAACTGTGTAGATACAATTTTCATGGGACCAGTCTCTTTCCAATCATATACTCGCACTTATACTTGCCTGCACGGCGATGTCTTCCATTTCGGACTTTATCTGATCGAAGCCGTTTTCGTTTTCAAATTCTCGGAATAAGTGCAGGTTGTCGTAAGTCAGATTTCCCACAGCTGCAACGAACCTCTCGTACAGTGCAGCCTTCTCAGGATCGACAATGGACATGTTCCTTTCCAAATAATCACAGTGATTAACGCATAATCCGTTACTTTTAACGAGGTGTACATACATAATTGCAAAAGAACTTTCTCTTTCAAAGATGCGTTTCCATGTGGAATTAAACAGTATTGAAATTGTCACTGATGCATAAATTCTGCGATGAAAACAAGGTATTTCAAGCCAACTTTTATTCTACACAAACTTGTAATTTGATCAGTTCATTACTGAACAAGACGTAATCAACACTACTATATTTAATTAATTATTTATTGACAAAAATATAAATACTAAATGTTGAAAATAGGCGTGTTCTTGTCATTATATAGTGCGTACGTTAGCTTCAGTTCCACAATCAATACCCGTCTTTCTCCCACTACACATACAAATAATAAAACCGAGAGTTGTTGACATTGTTTAATAATAAAAATCCGCTTCAATTATATGAAATTACGTCTTTTATTGGCCATTTATTTTAAATATACGAATTTGTAGGGTATTTCCGTTAACAAGTGTTTTCTGTATTGTTTAAAAATCGAACTTACTTTCGCACGAATTCTTTCACGGCAGAGTGGTTCACGCGATTTAAATAAAAGAACGTCATGGACGGGAAAGTTACATTCCATTCCATATAATTCTTCTCTAAGGACACCACTGTGGGGTTGGTGTAATAACGCTCTGCGCTGCTTATGATGAGAATTGTGGCGTACACCATTGCGGAGAGAAAGATAATAAGCCAGACAATTCTGCAAGAGAACATTTATCAGAACAGATTGTACACATAAGTAAGTAAATAAGTAAGTACTGACAATACGATCCTTTATTCTCTGACCCAGAACATTTGTCTCTCAGACCTGTTAAAAAAGGAGTCCTGATATTACACAGCAATCAATTCCAATAAGTTAGCGATGCCTGTATCATCTCAGTCTACAGAAATACCGTTTGGGAGTTGACCAACACCGGCAACATTCATCGGCCTTCAGCTAATTTCAATACATGCACGAATATGACGAAAGGTGGAAATTTTCAATAAGGAAAAACAATTTCGATTGAAATATAACAGTAACTAATGTTGCGAATACGGTCGCTGTATTTATGGATGCCACACGTTTGTATTAAATTTGCATTTAAGTAAGAGGATGTTTTATAACGAACATTTTCGAATGTTTGATTCCAATATTTACAGAAAGACGTTATGTTGGTACTTATAGTAGCCACTTCGCATAATACAATATTGCCGCTTTGTTATTCGTAACGTTCAAATAATAATTATTTTAGAGGAGTACTCCGTATAGTCAATTAATATCCGCAGTGAAATACAGTCGACTCCGGTTATAGTGAAATGGTCAGTAAGTCACTAGTCCCGTTTCACTTACATTATAAAGCAGCATTATAATACTGTTATAGTGAACCTGAACCTGAACCTGGCCTATAGTGAAGGAAGGAAGGAAGGAAATACGTCTTGGAAATTAATTCCCTCCTGGAAAAGAATATATCGCCACAGTGCCACAAATTCCTACACAACACAGCATGAAGAAATGTCGTCTAAAGGCCATAATAGAAGTGTTGTCTGCTGAAAGTAGGGAACCGGAATGAGTATCACACTGATGGCCTTCCGCACTCAGTTTGACTTCCGAACGAAGGCCGTGTCCTACGTGGGCAACAACAGGCGGCGGCGGCGAGTTCTACGTAGGTGGCAAGAAGCACGCGACTGCCGCAGCTTGGCGATATCCGCCGCTTCGCGCCGCGCGGAAAAGCGATGTTTGATTAGCCATTTGCGCCATCCCGCTACCGAAAAAACTCGTATGTTATTAGGCGAGTAAAAGGGCCTTCAGAGATGGGAAGTTTTTCCAACAGTGCAAGAGGCATTGAAGGGTGTCAAGAGAGTTTTTACGATACTGAAGTCATATAGAACAATATAGAATCAGTTACGGAGAGAGCACGAACAATGGAGGAGAACCTAGAGAAAGTACTAATTTAAAAAGTTTGAAGCAAACAATTGAAAAGAAATCAATTTTTCAAGGATAAAATAAAGATGTTCCAATTTTCAATTCGCGCTGTTAATATATTTTGCTATATCTCCGTATTAATATCTCTATATAATAATCAATATTTACGGAGAAATTCTGTTTAATATTGATATCCTCGGATATAGTGAACCAAAAATGTCAGTTCCCAGAAGTTCACTACAACCGAAGTTGACTGTATATTTAATTTCAGTAATTCTTAACATACAAAAAACCTCGGGCACTAAATGCTTCTTTTCAATGCAAAAAGGTTTTCTTTATCAAAAGGTTCAAATAACTTCGCGAACTTCTATTAAAACAATGGCGCCCTTTAGCGTCTTCACACCCTACCCTCTAGCCGGCGCGACGTCGCTAGCCGAATGTTTTAACTACGTATTGTGTATCCACAGATGTTAAGCAATTCGAGACACCGCGGGTTCCTGGATGTGTGACCTGCCTGAAAGTTCAGTCTGGGAAGCCCGGAAATTAACGGCGCCGGGCCCTGGCCGAAAGCATAAAAATATAACGACTAACCAGAATAAAAGAGGATTTCTCCAGTCGTTCGACACCTGTTGGTGCTTATCTAACATAAAGTTATCACAAATTGTAACAAAACTTTAAAAAATACTAATTAGAACAGACACCCCAAGATGACTAGCACGATTTAAAAGTATTCAAAAACACCATGGCACCGCCTTTTTCTAGCTGATTTTGCAATGATCTGACAAAATCTGATTTTGCATTACAACGTACGACTTTACCAATTTAACACCGAAATACATGCAAATACATCATTAGCAATAGTGAAATGATCAGTACCCATTACTTTGTTTTATGCGCCACCTATTATTTTAATACTCAAGTATCTTCAATTAATGTGTCTCAACAATGTGTGTGAATGTGAAAAAGACCTTATACTTTCCTTTCAACAGGGTGTCTCTCTTCGCAAAGAATGTGCCCTAAACCATGTAGACTGGTTTCTTTCCCGAAGTCTTCAATGTATAATCTCACGTAATGTATCCATGTTTTTTCTCTATTTGGTTTGAGTATTTTTCTTGGCTCAACATATTGGTCTTTCTGGTTAAAAACTACCTGCCGCTTAAGATACATCTCACTCGGACTGTTCCGGGGCAACTGAAGCAAACACAAGCCTCGATTTTCGGGGCGTGTGCGTGATCAAAAATCAAACCCATTTATCTGATCGTTTCATGCTTATGAACACACAATGTGTTTCATGTTTTAATGGGTCTTTTAATCTAAACCGAAATCGTAATAACTAAAATACAGAATACAGTCGCTAAAATAGTTCCGTGCGTGTGTCGAAACGATCAGATCTCTCATATGAGAGTCCCACCGTCACGGCTGCCAACGTTCAGAGGCAACATAGTTTCCTCCACAACATCGTTATCGAGAAGGTTCGAGTTCCGTCGGTGGTGGCTTTTCGACTCTGCATCGAATTCAACTTTTGCCTGGAAGAGAATTCTAGCGACAGGTGGCTCAGATCGGTGGCAGAAAAGATTTTACTTGATTCTTAAACTTGTGTATGTTTTTAAACGTTTAATGCCATGTAATCGTTTAATTTTAATTGTTGTAAAATAATTTACTGGTATCGCATGCAAGTTTTTTGTAGTGAGCTGATGATTCTGACCCCGAATGAATGTGATTACTACGTCGAGTGTTAAAGTTAAAGACACCGTTATTTGCTTAATATAATCAAGAGGCAAGGTAAGTGGTAAAATTGGAAGCTTAACAAGAGAGGCTTTCAAGAATCACACAGTTAGGATTTGCGTATTATTCGTAAAATTATTTTTATAATCTAATCGTCTTTGAGCTATAGAACATGTTTCTGCAGAATAGTATGCCATACCTCGGATGGAAATGAACATACGCGAAATATACACAACGAGCAGTATGAAGACTGACTGAATTTGAAAACATTCTGATTGCTTAGCATAACTAACTTAATTTTCTGTTCAATTCATTTAAATTGACATTCCATTTGAGATTTGGTAATTTAGAGACCCAAAAATTGCATTATCTTATCAGTCAATTGCACATCGTATTCAAGGAGGTGTATTATTTATTTGAAATGAAAACTGCGTTGAAACCAATTTCTCTTCGTTTACTATTAATTTGTTATTACGAAAGTAATTTGAAACATCTGATACTGCACTATTTTACTTAATTGCAAATAATGTTAGTTCAGTAAAATCTGTCAAAACCGAAACCTGTACAAGCGAGAAACCTGCCTTAACCGGAAAATTTCTCCGGCCCGTGAAGTTAAATAGCATTTTACACAGCATAAAACGGAACAATTTTTCATGTCCGCTGGGAAAAAAAATCTTTATAAAACGGAAATCCTATTAATTTAATGCAATTGATAGAGAAACGCGAGATTTTCTTAATTAAATGAATGCATCTGCAAGCTTGTTTGAAATTCTCTGTCGCCATGACACTCAATTAAGTTGTGGTAGCTGGACATTGAAGGAGAGCAGCTACAGCAGTCAGCGTAGAATTCTACCTTGGGGTTACTTGTCTCTCAAAGGAAAGGCCGTAGGGGAATCCCCTCCCTCCCAACTCCCTGAGCGTGGGAAGGTTTATGGGCATGGCTTCTATTCAGGCATCTCCCTGCCCCGCGTTGAAAATCATAACCCCTCGACCAGATACACATTGCTAAAGGCCAGGCGAGGGTATCAGAGAGTCATGGTACTGAGTTGTGACGCATTGTGCATTTAGTCGGCATCAGTCCGAATTCATCCAGTGAGGGGTGTATTATTCAACTCAGAAGTTGTCAATGCAGAGTGTTTAATATTCATTGATGGGTAGTTTCTTCCATCAATACGTTATATGTTAATGTATTTCGATAATTATAACAAAGTCATGCAATTTTCTACTTTCAGAAAACGCCATTATCACACGTGTTACAAAATGAAAAACCTTGCCTAAAACTGAAACCTCCGCAAAACCGGAATTTTTAAGTGCCCTAATTGATTCCGACAGATAGCTTTTTCTGCATCATCTGCAAAGTGAAGTCGTCTTCCGTTTCGAATCGCCGAGGGCATATCGTTTACGTACACTATGAAGAGATGATAACCTAAAACCGGGACCCCGTGAGCAATTGATAATGAATCGGAAGACAGTATATAATGTCCAATCAATGCAGTACGGTATTTCTACTCTCCGAGATCGTTGTTCAAGGTACAAACATAACCTTTGTTCAGCAACACCACTAATTGCAGTCAAATATAATTCTTAAAGTAGAATGTTATGACCAATGACGTGAAAAGCTTTAGAAAAATCTAAACATATGCGTTTCATTTTGATCCTAGGATGAAGCAATCTTTTTCGAAAAGAAGGGGCTCCGGTACTTTTTTGTTAATTTATTTTTTTTTTGGTTGGAGATGGTCGTTAATTCAACAAATCATACATACCTTACTTCCTCATAAACAAAGATTGCTTTTAACATTAAAAAAAATGTTTCAACCATATCAACAATATTAAGCATAGTTTACCCTTATACACGCTGTGTTAAAAAAAGACCGGACTGTGCTCCTTCCTCGCAAACCGCTCGACGGACGCAAGCGAGACACACTGCGCCACTTGGCGGTGTCTGCGGCAATTAAAACGCCCTCTGGTGAGTCTCACTGCGATGTATTGGAGCCGCGCGACAGCAATTCTTGTCTGAGCCTGTGGTACAATTATTGTGTTGGCGCATAATGAAAGAACTGGAAGGGATGCGT